CCCAGGCTAGCCGTGCTGCTTTTCACGGCTTTTTAAAACAATTGTTTCATGAGAAACATAGATTTTTTGAAAAGTTTGACACAAAAAAAACGAAATTCTTCAAAAACTAATAGATTTTCACTTAACGCGTTTTTTAAGGCTAGACGCGGCCGGCCTCGGCTAGCCGCGGCTTTTCACGGCTTTCACATAAAAGCCGGGGCCGGCCGCCAATTTGCACAGCCTTGGTAGGAAGTATTTTTTCTCATCGGAATTTAGGCTTACTTTTAGGTTGATTATAAACAACGGATGCCTCCAAACAGAAATTCCTAACACATGACCCTCCAAATCAAAGATGTAATTACTATGATAGAATGACCACATTATCTGTCATATTGAGCCAATTTATCTCGATTCCTGTACAAAGTATCAAAAAGTTGTCAACAAATAAAATATGTTTCATATTATGATAAATATTTTATTAGTTGGCAACTTTACAATATCTTTCACAGGAACTGAGATATATGGACTCAAACTTGACAGTGTGAGGGCCCTTCTATTAAAGCGTTTACGATATATCTCTACCGGACCAATCTATTTTTAAAACACCTACACTTTTCAACGTTATAGGAAATTTTTCAAAATCCCAGATAACAATTATTATTGTGGGGAGGTTATAATGTAATTTTCTAGAGAAAATACTTGTTTTTTTCACAAGACTCTTCCTGGAAAAAATCATATTCAACAAGACCGAAAAAAAACAATTCTCAGGCCTACATGTTTTTCCCAGATTTTTTTGCAGAATTTTCTGTCAAAACTGTACATTTTGAAACCGAAAAAGCAGCTATTTTTGGACACTTGTTAATAAAAATGTTTACACTCTCGACACGGAATTTTCTCAGATTAGCAAAACTTTGGACCCAAATTCTTCAATGAGGGAGGGGACTTTATTCGTTTGGAGCAAGCGATTCTGCAGTAACAAGTTGGAATATTGGAAATTTAAAAGACCGAAACTTTTGCTTTTGAAATTTCAGAATCTTAGAATCTTAGAATCTTAGAATCTTAGAATCTTAGAATTTTAGAATCTAAGGTCCCAAATTGGAGTCTTCACTACCGTATCCTTAAGTTTCAAGACTCACGTGAATCCGAAAAAAAGGAAAGAATATCCCAAAAAGGGAAATCATGTGAATCAACCAACCAACCAAAAAAAAGTTGATATACTTTTTTCCAAGAAGTGTCTGGAGGTCCATCGAGGTGAAGAAGATCGGTCCCGTGGGAATCTATTCACAAGTCACGTATACGTATACTATGGTCCTAAACTCTCCAAAAAACTTCCGGATACATAATCTGATATGAATAGGGAAGATGGTGAAGGACCAGAGAAAATGCGGTAGCAAAAAAAATACGGGAGAGAAAAATGTGGAAGACAGGATGAAATAAAATTGTAGTTCGAGAAGGAAAAGGGACCGCCGGGGAGATGGAAAAAATGAAGGACGCCAGGGGTTAAAATTTTTTAGTTTTCGAAAAAAATTGGGAAATAATAATATATGTATTGTTAGGTCTTTGAGAAAAAATGGAACCAAAAATTAGGATATTCAGAAATTCCTGAACTCATAAATTCAGAAATTCAGAAACTCTTAAAATTCGGAAATTCAAAAAGCTCGGATCATACTAAATATAAAAATAGCCTGATTTTCATAATTAACTTTTTCACCAATCTTCATTTTGACAAAGAAGCACCGAAAATGCCAAAATTATAATAGCACTGACTGCTATCACCTTTTAAAATCACTTATCTCGCTTGGTTGGAATCGTACGAAAATGTTGTCAACTACAAAATGAAGCTCTATTTTTGTTTAGTGTACTCTGAAATGTTCAGACAAATCAAAAATTTCTGAACTAATTTTTCAGGACTTCAAAGTTGACGACGTATTCTAATAAAAGCCCACCAACACTTTGAGCTCAATTATCTCGGTTTCTGTTAAAGATATCAAAAATTTGCCAACTGATAAAATGTTCATCATATTATCACCATTATTTTATCAGTTAACAGGTTTCTGATGTCTTTCACAGGAATCGAGATAATTCAGCTTAAAGTTGAAAAATGGTGTGACTTCTAGAGAAAATAGGGGTCACTGGAAAAGTCAAAATATTATACATTTTTTGTCCGGCACTGGACATGTTGGCTTTTTTTCAAGAAGAACTAAAATTCAATTTTTCTTTCCTCCTTCATAATTCAACTAGCAGAGTAGTATAGGTCCAAAAAGAACGAAACCCACCCAAGAAAATGAGATAAAACTCATAAAAAAGGACCAAAAAACTAATTTCTGGACCTCGAAAGACACCGAAAACCACCAGAAAAATCTTCTGGATCTTTTTTTTCAAGATCATCCATATTTTATTTTATAACATAACTTTTTTTTCCTGAGGATCTATGAAATGCATTTCCTATTGTTATGGTGTTTTTTTTTCTTTTAGGGTCTTATCTGTCTGGTGGAACATGAATAGATGATTTAGGGACAAAAGATGAGCAATAAAAAATAGAGAAGAAATAGAAAAAAAATGTGGTGAAACCGAGGGAACGAATGAAAAGAAAAGTGACAGATTTTGCACATTTTTTGTGACAATTGTAGGCTAGAAAGAGATGAAAAAAGTGGCAAGAATGTCATAACAAAAGGGTGTGATTTCAGGGATTTTGAGTGACGTGTCAAGTGATTGTAAGCTGTGCTTTTGGTGGGAAGCTCAAAATTTGAAATTCTGGAATTCGTCGAATTTCAGATTTTTAGGATTAAAAAAAAAAACTAAGATTCTAAGATTCTAAGATTCTAAGATTCTAAGATTCTAAGATTCTAAGATTCTAAGATTCTAAGATTCTAAGATTCTAAGATTCTAAGATTCTAAGATTCTAAGATTCTAAGATTCTAAGATTCTAGACCGCCTAAATCAGCTTAAGCGAAGCCGAACTGCAATGATAATTGTGTTTTGAAACTGAAAATCCTTACTATTTTAATTATTTTTTTCCATGACTGCTCCTTAGTTTTCCAAAGAAATTGAACTAAAAGGAAATGATCAACTTCCTTTTTTGGCGCAGAAAGCTTTTCGAAAAATTTACAGCGTCACATGTCTGGAAAAAATTAATAAAGGAGTCTATTCAGAAGATTTCTTTGAAAAAAGTTTTTAAAAAAATGGAGCAGTGGAAGAGAAACACCGATGGCCCTGGCCGATGGTCCCACAACGAAAACTATCATAAAATAAAAAATTCTTAACTTCCGGATTTAAACGTTCTCAGTATTTTTTTTTTTGGCTTGTTTAGAGGAAAAATACGAAAATGAATTCTGAAACTGAAAATATTTTTCATATTACGGTAGTTCTCGTTGTGGGTCCTTCTCTTTCTTCTAAAGCACAAAATACATAAAATCAGAACGTACTCTGAAAAATACAGAATTCGTTGGATCCAAAACACAAAAACCGCACGTTTCTTTATACTTTGAAGCTCTGAATAAATGGAATTCCAATTCGGAATACCGGAAACAATCAGAAACAAACAAAAACCACACAGAGAAAAAAAACGAATCGGGCAGAGCCAAAAAAACTCCATTTGAGTCGTCTTCTCTGGTCGTTTAACAAAGTTTTCTTCCCTTTTTCCGACCTGAATGAAGTCCTGAGCAGGTCTGCCTAATTTAGAGCACACACAGAAGCTCTAATGAGTAAAAACGGAGGGTTATAGAAGACGTCACTGGTGGGGAAAGCGCCTGAAAAGGGAGATTGTGCTTGGGCAGCCCCTTCTTTCATTGATACTAATTTCATTAGTTTTGTTCGCTTCTCCTTATGACCACTCATCGATTAGTTTTATTTGCAGCATTTTTTTTCAGAAAATTGAATTTGACCCATTTCTTGCCTTCTGAAAATCTATAATTTCTCATTTGCTTTTTGCTTTTTGCTTTCTTTTAATTCAAAAATTTTACTTTCGCGGTGTTTTCCTCGGGGTACGGTATACCAAGTGTCGTAGTATGTTGCGCCTGCGGTCGCATCGGTGTTTGCACAGTCAGTGTGTTGGAATTTTTCAGAACTTTTCTTTTCCGGATTTTCAGCTTAATTTCAGGACACTTGAGATTTAAAAAAAAATCTAAAAATAGGAAAACTAGTTAAATATAAATTTTACAGTTTAAAAATGTCAAACGACTGGGGAAACGACTGGAATACGGACCAATGGAACACCGGATACTCGCAACCGCAACAACAGCCTGCAGCTCCAGCTCCAGTAGCTCAAGATAATAATTTTGGGTATATTTTGCATTTTTAAAAAGAGATTTTGATAATAAAAATTTTTAGTGGCGGCTACTACTCACAACAAAGCTCGGGATTCGATAACAGCGGGTACGGACAACAGCCTCCCAGTCAAAATCAATACGGACAACCTCAACAACAGCAGCAACAGAATTATGGGTATTCACAGAATAATGGTTAGTTGAAATTTAAAATTTGAAAGAAAAAATGAAAAATTGGTTCCAGGAGGTTTTGGAAATTTCCAACCACAACATCTCATGTCGGATCCGATGTTGAACGCTGCGAAGCAGTTTGGAGGCCAATTTGCCGAGCAGCAGAAAGAAAAGGTTGGAATTTCCGTGAAAATTTCCTTGAAAATGAAAAAAAAAGTTTTCAGCTAACAAAATATTTGGGAACCTTCAACTTAAAGTACTACTTCGCTGTTGACAATGCCTACGTTGGCAAGAAGCTTGGCATATTGTTCTTCCCATTTTTCCACAAAGATTGGTCTCTGAAATTCGCCGGATCCTCCGACCCGGCGCCCGCCAGAGAAGACGTCAACGCGCCGGACCTCTACATCCCTCTAATGTCATTTTTGACATATGTCCTCGTTTCTGGATTTGTTTTGGGTACCCAAGGACGATTTTCGCCGGAAATATTGGGGATTCTGACGTCGAACGCTCTGATTTGGGTGATTCTGGAGAATATCGTGATTTTCATCTCGAAATACATTTTGAACATCTCGCAAGCGTTGTCGGTATGGCACTCGTTGGCCTACAGTACGTACAAATTTGCACAGTGAGTTTTTTATTCAAAAAGTGAGGAAAAATCTATAAAAATGGTGGAAATGGTTGTCAGACCGTCAGACCTGGTCAGTGAAGCTGATAGTGTTGGGGTATTGTTCGCCTAGTGGGAATGTCCTGAAAAAAACAATTTCATGGCCGAGTTTGGAATTCTAGGCCCTAGAATCTAGGTCATCACAGCCCACTCACCGACACCTTAGCAGTAGCAGGTCTCATTACATTCGAACTTTCCGCAGGACTAGGTTTTTTTGTATTACAAAATAATGCATCTCTGTAATCCCGTATAAACAACAAAAACAACAAAGAATCCAATGGTGGATAGATGGAAATGCTCATCACCACAAAATGCCCGATTTCTCCCATATAGACGCCGGCCATGCTTCCAGAGATCATAACAGCTGGAGGGACATATACGGATGCCAGAGGGACTACAGCCTGAATCACGATAGCCCTTAGAAGTTGCATTTGCGTCCTATAGAGATTCTTGGATAACTGAGCCAATCGGAGCAGCTTCATGTTATTTCGATAAGTCTGAATTCCGCAGACAAGAGAAATTCCGTAGAACAGGATCTGAAAATTTTAGGCTGAAAATTTTAAGGCTGAAATGAACTTGTTTTTCTGATGCCTATAATTAAATGGTGACACATTCCGATTTCAAATTCTAGACTGACTAGTGAGCAATAACTAGACAGTTTACCTGAAACGCTACAAGTCCAATGAACGAACCCATCGCCCACCACTCGACATCACCGGCTTTGTGAAATGGAGTTGTGTTGATGTGCTGAAATTTTGAAAATTATCTGAAAATCCTCACGAGAACTTACATTACACAAAGGGCCGACATATGGCTTGTCAGTGAGGTCGAATTGCTCGATTAGGGTCGTTGAAACGCTGAAAATCGAGATTTGAAGTGTTAGAGGCGCGCCAGTCTCACTTAAAATACGCAGTTTTCTCTGTTGTTGGACCCATCCAATAATAAACGCAAAAGCACCAGATAACGAAGGGCAAGGCGCAATAAAGGGTGAGCAATATCAGACCGAACCCCTTGAAATGATGAGTAAGGTGTTGTTGACAAGAGGAGACGTATCGATAAATGAAATTCAAAGAGAGAAATGAGGAACTCGCAATGAAGCAACCACAGTAGATAACTGGAATTAATTACTTAATAAGAATCCAATTTAAATAATAGACTGCCCAGGTCCCTGAAACGGCAAATCTGGGCCATTTTTTTTCCAATAATATGCAGAATCAGATAGAAGCAAAGAAAACAGTTTGAAAAGGCAGAATCTGGAAAGATCGCTTCTCGTCTATTTCTGGAAACTTCTGGAATGTTCTCGAATCTTTTTTTTTAATTCTCGCCAAAACTGAAAACCCTGGAGAATCAGCGGTTTTTTCGGGAGAAAAATTGATTTTCTTCTTCGATTTTTTGCAAAATTTTTAGACCTTTTTAGGTTTTTCAGCTATTTTCGATAGTTCTTTTTTGATTTTTCCGAATTTTTTGTCGGAAATTTGACAGGATGGTGTTAGCGGAGATTACTGTAGATTACTGTAGAAAACCTTCTATGTTGGGAGGTTTTTTTTTTGCAAACACAATCACGTCGAAAACCTACAAATGAAAATTCGATTTCTATAGTAATCTACAGTAATCTTCACGAAAACGGTTCCATCGAATTTCAGATTTAAAAAACCGGAAAAATCGAGAAAGAATCATTGAAAAAAACTTTTAAAAAAACTAAGAAGGCCTAAAAATTGTGAAAAAAGTCGAAGAAAAAATGAATTTGTCTCTCGAGAAAATCGCTAATTTTTCGGAGTTTTCAGTTTTGGCTGAAATTTAAATTTTCGAGATTTTGCCAATTTTTTCTGAATTTTTTCTTTGTCTCTATATGAATCTACATACTTTCTACACTGTGTATATCAGTAGGTCTATACCGCTCGTTTCAGGGCCTCAAGTGCCCTCAGGAACCTCAGAAAGGCCTCAGAAAAGTCAATGACTGCCTCAGCTAAAAATGACTTACTCTGCACAAAATGAGAAACCGAGTAGCCCAAATCGAAAAGCCGATTCTCGGAATAAAACACATAACCATTGCCATTGACATCCATCACGGCATACGGTTGAACAAGCCAATCAACAATAGCAAATAGAAATGCATAAAAGCAATATATCCGCAAAAAGTTCTTATATCCTCCAAACTCCTTTCTGGACCGTTTCTCGATTAGCACAAAAAGTGTGATGGTCGCCCAAATGGCAATGAGGAATGAGAACCAGCCGAAGATGTGGGTTATGGTGGACCAGGTGGAGTAGTGATGATGGGACATTTAAATGGGACTAGGTTGAATGGATTGGATAGGTTAGATAAGATGGTTAGGAATATAGAAATTTGGCTCAGACCTTGAAAGAGGAGGAGCTACTCAGTTCATAATTATACCCCTTTAAATTAAGGGCCTTAATTGCCTCGTGTCTTTGTGAATAACTGGGGAACTTGGCGGACCGAGGAGCGTGATTTGTAGGAGGAAGTCACAGAATGATGTCTGCCATTTTTTTATAATTGCAGATTAGAAAAGGGCGGGATTAAAGTTCGAAAAATAAATTGAGTGCTGATGTTTCGGTTGAAAATGAACTATGGTATATGGTAAAATTAATGTAGGGGTTTTTAGTACAAAAACCTATTTTTCAGTTGATTTTCAGCCATTTTCAAGTATTTGGAGCTCGGCTGTCAAGTTTCCGATCACTTTTCAAAATTGCCCGAAATCAACTGAAAAATGGGCCTCCGCGAGTTACAGTACTACCAAACGTGCACAGTCTATATTAGGCTAAAATTTCCAGCGAATTTTAGTCTATGCTTAAGCTTTAATCACCCATAAAACATGTAATTTTTTTCAGTATGATCGTCTGCCTCCTTCTCTTCATGGTCGGCGACAAAACCTTCTATTACTGTGCACTCGCCTACAGTTCACTTGTCCTTGTGCTCTTCTTGGTGAGTTTTTTGAAGTAAAGCTTTCATTCGGCCCGGAAATCTATCCGACCTTCCGAAATAGAAACCTAAATTTTAAAATTTTCAGCTACGATCAGTATCTCACTTCATGTTCGACACCGCTGGATCCTATGGATCTGATGAGGGACGGAAAAGAAAATTAATACTCGTGGCGTTCGTTGTTATCACTCAACCGTTGATTATGTGGTGGTTAACGAGGTAGGTACTGCATCCCCGATTAAGTTATGACTAACTTGTCCAGTTTGTACTAATCAAAATTTTAACATCTAAACTAAATTTGATGCCTAGAGGTGGCCTAGATTTCGCAAATGGAAAAAGAACGAAGTTTCTAGGCCACTTGGAAGCCGAGATACAGTGATTTGAAGTTCATGAGGCTAGAGACGCAGACGACGAGACACACTGCGTCTTTGATCCTCCGAACTTAATTTTCGCGTATCGTAAAACCTGTATTAGAAGGGCGTTCTATTTTTCCAAGGTTCCTCCGGAGGGCCCTTCTATAAGAGGGACCCTTCTATTACAGGTTTTGCGGTATCTCAGCTTCTAGGAAATCTAGGAATTTGGTTTTTTTTTTGTGAAATAAAAATTTTCATTTGAATTTTAAAGTCAAATCCCACAATTCACCTAACCCCCCCCCCCCCCCCGCACTGTCCCATGTCCTATTTTTTTCACCGTTTCAGCACACAAATCCAATCGACAGCTCCTCGAATGGTGGTGGGTCACGAGTGGTTGGAGACAAATATCAATGGATAATCTATGTGTTTTCGTGTTTTTTTTCTCTCAAAATGTGTATAACTTTTCTTATTCAATATCAAAATTCTAATCGATTAATCAATTTTGTCCGGTTCGTTTTCTGTATGTCCGTTTTTTGACGAAAAATTCAGCTCATTTTCTCTAGCAAATGCCCACCCAAAACTTGGAGGTCATTTATCTCATTTCCTGTGAAAGATATCAATGATCTTTCAACTGGTAAAACACTCCTGGTATGATGATAAGCAATTCATCAGTTGACAGATTTTTGGCATCTCTTACAGAAATCGAGATAAATTGGCTCAAATTTTGAGCCTCAAAGTTGACGGTTTCGGTAGCCCTTCTATTAGAGAGAATACGGTAGTTCGACCCCCAAAAATTTCCAATTTTCTTTCTCTAGCGTGGCCAGCAACTACGACTACGATAAGTTCGGTTTGGCTCAACTGGCACTATCGAAAATGAGCGGAGGATCTGGCTCCAAAGCCAAACAATTCATGACCAACGACGGTGACATCGATTATGAGGCGCTCTTAAAAATGCCGAAAGAGGATTTTGATGGAATGTAGATTTATTTTAAGAGTTCTTGCCCCTTTTTTCTGTGAAATGTTCCGAATTTTTTATCAATTTATCAGTGCCTTCTTGTGTGTAAAATTGGTTTTTAAGATATATAATTTATTTTTCCATATTTTAGAGATTTTATGAATTTGCTGTGCTTTTTTTTATTCGAAAAGTTCAAGATACAGGGGAGAACATATCGTAGAGGTTTTGAGGTAGAGCGTACAAATTGAGCAGATTCTTGATTTCCATGTACTCGTGGAAGCGGTGAGAGGCTCGCTGAAAAATGATTTTGGAGATAAAATTTTAAAAAAATTGGAAAAGCCGAAAATTCGAGAGTGTGCGGAGCTTATGGTCACTAGCAAAAAACTGAAAGGAGCATAAATTTTTCGGCCAATTCTATCTACTTTTCGACGAATTTCTTCGATTTTTTAATTGTTTTTGTTGTTTTCATGCGTTTTTAGCGATTTTTCAGATTTTTTTCCAAAAAATGGTGAAAATCGATGAAATTCGTCGAAAAATCGAGCGAAATAGGCGAGAAATCTTTAAAGGCACATTTAAAGGATCATGCTTGTTTTGTGATTATTTTCTGGCCTATTTTCTTCGATTTTTAGATTAAATTTCATCGATTTTTCGTTATTTCTAATGCGATGTTTTGCGATTTTCGCGTTTTTTTAAAATACTATTAATCGATGAAATTCATCGGAAAATCGAGAAATTTTTTCATTGTTTTTATGCGACTTTTTTTTGTGATTTTTTGTTTTTTTTCCAGCGATTTTGAGCGAAGTTTCAAATACTTTTCGAATTTTTAACAGAAAATGGTTTTTAAATCTAAAAATTCGACAAATCTCATGAAAACAATGAAAAATGTTCAAAAAACAATGAAATATCCGATGAATTTCGTGAGATTTCAAAAAATGATGAGGAAATTATAAAAAAATCGATGAAATTTGTCAAAAAAAAATCCGAAATCATTAAATCAATACAAATTATTGAAAAACCGATGAAATTGCTTGGGCGAAGGTCCTACAACGACAACTACCGTAGTCTGAAAATATGTTTGTTTTCCAGATTTTTTTTCTCGTTCTTCACTGCTTTTCGACGATGTTTCTGTTATTTTTCCCTGAAAAATCAACTTAAAACGTGCGAACATCGAGATAATCTGAACAATAAAAATATGTTTAGGTTACTGTAGTTGTCGATGTGGGATCGTCGGCTAGCTTTTTTTGGACTAGAACAATACCTGAATAGATGGCAAAATGGACAAAATCGTTCCCAGGCGCAATGCGACATCATCATAAACATTCATCGATTGATAATAGAATAGCAAATCGCGAATCACGGCATTCCTCATCTGAAACGCTTCCTCTTGAGCATTCTGTCGATCGACGTCTGCTTCAAGATCAGATTCCCATAAAATGATGGCGGAAAGAGCAAGAAACTCATAAATATCCACATTTTCAGAATGCAATGGATGAGTGATACAGGTTCTGAGCACTTTGAATTGTTGCGCGAACATTGAAATTGTCTCTTTTTGCGAGAATTTTTGATGGTTGGAGGTGAAGTAGGATTCGAGATGTTCCAAATCGATGTAGTCGCCGGAAGGGATTAGCATTACGTCTTGCTTGTCTGGAAGAACATTGGTTATCATTGTCACCAAGGTTTCCTGAAATTGCCGCCGGTCGAGGTCAATTATCTCGATTCCTATGAAAGATATCAGAATTATCTCAACTGATAAAATATTTGTGATATTATGATGAAGGTTTCGTTAGCAGATTACTTTTTGATAGTTGATACAGGAAATAAGATAATTGAGCTCAAAATTGACGTTTTTCAAACTGTATCATTTTCTAGTACTTGTCAAGTTCTACCATGTCTATTTTAGTTGGCCCAAAAAACTATGACCTGAAAAAATCTAGGCCATGACCTAAAAAAAATCTAGGTCATGACCTAAAATTAAAAACCTAGGTCACGACCTAAAAATTGAAATCTAGGTCATGACCTAAAAAATTGGAATCTAGGTCATGACCTAAAAATTTGAATCTAGGTCACGACCTAAAAATTGAAATCTAGGTCATGACCTAAAAAATTTGAATCTAGGCCATGACCTAAAAAAATCTAGGTTATGACCTAAAAAAATCTAGGTTATGACCTAAAAAAATCTAGGTTATGACCTAAAAAAAATCTAGGTCATGAACTGAACAAATCTAGGTCATGACCTAAACAAATCTAGGCCATGACCCCAGGCCCCCAAGGACCGAGGCTTATGGCGCCAGGCCCCTAATTCCCCGGGTCACCTTTGTGGACCCCCGAGTAAGGGAGAACTGATTTTTGTCTCCAGTTCATTCTCCCTTTATAGTAATTTTCCTCACAGGTCAATGTCAGGTCAATGGGCCACGCGAGTCCCCAAATTGTGTAATTTAAAATTTTCATTTTTTGAAGTTTGTTGAAATTTTTGGAATTCCTTAAAATATGCTCCCTTTGAGCCGATTTATCTCGGTTCTTGTGAAAGCTATCAAAAAAATGTCAACTAATAAAATTTTTATCATAATATGTTGAACATTTTTTCAGTTGATCCCTTTCTGATATCTTTCGCAGGAAACGAGATATATGGGCTCAAAGCCCCCGCCATTTTTTCGAAATAACAAAATCCGACTCACTCGACGTATGCCCATTGAAAGAGTTCTCCAAAAGTGTGAATGGCAAGAAGAAATTCTTAAAAAGAGATCGTTTTGTATCCGGAAAGAATTCCGAATACTCTGGAAACGCTTCGCAAAGAAATCGATAAACGATTGTCATTTCTTTGAGATACACATTTTGAAGCTCACTGAAGCATATTGGACGGGAGGGTTGATTCTGGAATAGTATTTGGTAGAACTTCGATCTCATATATCTCATTTTCTGCGAAAGGTGTAAAAAAGTTGTCAACTAATAAAATCTTTATCAGTTGACAAAATTTTCATATCTTTCACAAGAAACGAGATATCTGAGCTCAAAGTTGACAGGGTCATTCTAGTAGAGAGTCTACCCATGGCCGGCCGCTGCCGCGATTTGCACAGCCTAGACTTTCTTAGAATTATCACATTTCCCAAACTAACCTCTGTCCTTTTATGAACTTCCTTTCTGACCACCAACAATTGCTCATACGCTCTTCTCATCGTATCCAAAACCTGATCTCCTCGACTCGAATAACTCTCTGACACACTTCGTAACCCATCTCGTTTTCCCAGTTGATCACGCTTTTGTTGGACAGCTAAATCCCATTTTTTGCATATTCTGATGCTGATGACTCGCCTACCTGATCGCTTCATTCCAACATCAATGCATTTCTCATAGCGACACGAGCGACACATGTTGCGAACGTCTGGAAATACCGTACTTGGAAACGGGCCCATTTCTTTTTGAAATCAATATTTTTAGACCAACTAAATAAGATATAAAGTTGAGGAGTACTACAAAATGATACAACTTGGAAAACTGTATCTTGTCTATGAACACAGTTACAAGCCTTAAAGCTGTGACCGCGTAGCTCTGACGGTTTTTGGTTTGTATCTTTGTTCATAGACCAGATACAGGTATCTGGGTTGTATCATTTTGTGGTGCTAGTCGAGTTCTATCATACTTAATTCAGTTTATCGGAAAAGATTCATCCTAAAAGGAACTATAGGATGACCCGTTTTTCAAGTATTATGAATACAATTGAAATGGTAAAAAAATTACTTGATAGAATAAAACATTGATTGTTTTTGGGACACTCGTGGATCTTGTTCAATTGGACAGTACGACGGAAAAATGCGGCGCAGGCTCTGAAAAAATTTTAGTTTTGGAAGAAAAATCTAGAAAAATCTAGAAAATCTATAAACCTGCACGCCGGTGCTCCAAAATGATGGCCATCTGCCACTTCACAGCAAATCAAACAGTATTGGGGAGGAGCGCTGGTTCCTTCGAATCCACTGACTAAATTGGACATTTTTCTGAAATTTTCTGTGTTATAGACCGCGAAATAATCTGTGCCCAGGTTACGGTATGGAGTAGTCAACTAACAAAATGTTACTAATATTATGCTAAACATTTTACTTGTTGACTAATTTTTGATATCTTATACAAAAAATGAGATATATTGGCTCAAAGTTGACGGTATGGTACGTTCACTAGGACTTCAATTATCTCCGCATGTAATTTAAAAAAAACCCGTTATCTTTTTTTTTATTTCTTACAAAAGCCACTATTAGAAAAAAAAGTCTAAAATAACAAAGATCGGAGAAAAAGAAGAGAATTTCTCAAGAATTCATCTGGTTTATATAGAAAATTTGATGATGTAGTCTCCGTAGTTTTCGTATACTTCCTCATATTCGTCAAAAGTGACTTTGTGACGGAGACTGGGTTTTGTGACCAGGAACAACAGAAATGAAAAACAGGAATAACAGAATTAGGATGTCATTGTTTGGATATGAATGAATGGAAGTCACCGTAAACACTCTAATAAAGGGTCCCCCGAACTTTCAACTTTGAGCCAATTTATCTCGGTTCCTATCAGAGATATCAAAAAGTTGTCAACTAATACGTTGTTTATCATAATATCAGCAAGATTTTATCAGTTGACAAATTTTTGATATCTCTTAAATGAGCCGAGATAATTGAGCTCAAACTAGACAGTGTGGGAGCCCTTCTTAAGGTATTTTGAGTTTTGAGAATTAGCTAATTTTTCTATTGGATAGGAAATTCAAGTTAGATTTTGCAAGTACAAAATGAAACCAGCTAGAGAACGCATCCTAAAAATAACAATTGTCACTGATGGAGTGAAAAATCGCATTCATTATATCACATGTCCCCAGTCGTCATATGGTCTCTATCACTATCACTACTTGTTTCCCTGATAACATCAATGATCACTTAAGGCAGACCAACGGTACAGAGATTATTAGTCAAAAGGTCTGGTGCTCTATTAGAGTACGGAAAAATAGCCAAGTTTTTTGGATTACCGTAATTGCTCTAACAGAAGCCAATCCAAATTTTCAACTTTGAGCTCAATTATCACGATTTCTGTCAAAGACATCAAAAAGTGGTTAATTAGCGAACGATTTTTAAAGAGATGATAAAAATTTTGTCAGTTGATAACTTTTTGATATCTTTCACAGGAAATGAGATAAAGATCACAATAAGGATAACTGAAAATTTAGAAATCTAGGTATTTTTTTTGCAGAAACTTAGAACAATATTTGATTTCTATGAACTTCACACCAACGAAACAGAAAAAGAAAGTTAAATTACGATACAGTGTGTACAAAGGAGGAAAGAAAAAGAAAGAGAAAGCAGCAAGCGATTTCAGACAAAAAGAAGCGCCAACCTACGCTAAAGTTGAAACTTGGCTATTTATACAACTGTTACATGAACTCAAACAACTTGCGCAAATAAACAGATACAAACCGTCGTGTGAAAATCAATTGAGTGAACAATGAACTCTGGTTTTGTGTTGTTTACCCCCGACTACACAGTGGTCACAAATAGATACAATACTAGACATGTAGACAGGGAATTGTAGTCAAGGACTTATTATCCTAGAGGAGAACATAAACTGAATAGTTTGCATAAAAGATAACGCGAAGTTTCTGTATAAAGTTACTGTGAAACCTTCAATAGAAGGACTGTCTAGCTTTTAACTTAAACCAATTTTTCTCGGTTCCTGTCAAAGATATCGATAAGTTGTCAACTAACAAACTGTTTATCATATTATCACAAACATTTTATCAGTTGACACATTTTTTATATCTCATACAGTAACCAAGATAAATTTGGTCAAATGTGGCAGTGTGGGGATCCTTCTATTAAAGGTGGGGGGACAGGAGATTTTACGTAGTTTTTTTGTAGCTAGAGTATGCATTCTACCGTCACGGTGTACAACGCTTAATGTCACTCTGCGTACAGCTGTCGTCCTCGCCTTTATGTATGCAATCGGGCGTGCTCTTCCTCTTTACCCGCGTGGCTCAGTCGGTAGCGGCGCCGCACCCTCTTCTTCGCCCTCACAAGTTCAACTCCTCGAGGGGCATCTTTGAACGGAATTTCGAGAACATTATTTTTTTTCATGTCCCCCCACCTTTAAAGGTTTTAAGGTAGGTCATTTTTTAATTTTACTGCTTAACATACATTTCTAATAATTTACCGTAGTTACTCAAATAGAATGCCAAGTATTCCTTCTTGTTAATCGACAAAATACCTTATCTTTCGGATTGTATCGTTCAACTAGGACCATAAACAGTTACCATAAACACTCTAATAGAATGCGTCAACTTTGAGCCCATTTCCTGTAACAGATATCAAAAAGTGGTCAACTGACAAAATGTTTATCATAATATCAAATACATTTTGTCGGTTATTAACTTTTTGATATCTCTCACAGAAATTGAGATAAATTGACTCAAAGTGGAATGGCATTCTCTTAAAGTGACAAATGTCAAATGTTCTACGGGGCATCTTTGCCCAGGGGTCTCGAGCATTGTCTGAAGGCGTTCAATATATTATAAGAATATTTATTAAAACCAAACACAGCATAAGAGAACCAGAAATTATAGAATTTTGCTAATATTGATGAAACAACGAAATACTTTGTCTTCAATCCTAAATTGCAAGTGTTCATTGGATTGTGGTATTTGAAAACGATGAGTAAACATTTCAAATGGGTCTTCTGGATTCTCTTCTGGAATCTCTACATGCACCATTTTCTCAGCAACATTTTCAATAGGGTATCTATCCATGTGATAGCTAAATGACATCTGGCATGATTCGAATTCTTCAAAGCTGGAAACGATCTGTAAAATAGAATTAATCGAAACTTCGTTCCAGCAGAATAACTTACATCTAGAATTCGTAGAATATCCTCTGGTTCGATATTACTCTGCAGGCCGCAATGAAAGTTTTTCAAGTGACTGAAGTTTACTTAATCCTCCGCACTGAATATCTTTCATCGATTTTTTTTCATCGATGCCAATTACTACTTCTTCTGCCTGTTTGAATTGATCGGTTTCGAAAATCGCTTCGAATTGTTCTCTTCTGATGTTCAAACGCTGATTAACTTGTAAGTTAATCGTCTCAAGGTGTCCAGGGGTCATGAATGACAGAAAATTAATTGCTCTATTCACATCGTATCCACGAATGTACACCTCTCTCTCACATGAAACGGGGTTGACAGAAGATCATCGAGATCTGGCATTTTTCTCCTCTCCCCAAAGAAATTATCTTCTTCAGCCTTACTGAAGCAAAGAGAATTCACATAAAGATTGGGAATTTTGAATAATGGAGTCAAGTATTCCAGACTCTTTTTTATATAGCATCTCTCATTTGTCTTATATATTTTCGAATTTGAAACTGAACAAATCATCCCATAGTTACTGCATTCGAACAATTCATCGTTCGATTCCCATTCCATTTTTTCCTCTGATGTTGTAATATTTATTATCTCAAAAACGGACGGAAGTGAATCGCGGTTTGTGGATCGGAGGGATCTTCTGGAAAAAATTAGCAAATTAGAAAAAAATTTAAAGATTAAAATTGATCTCTTACTTCTCAAATGGATCCAGGATCTCTGTAATCTTTCGCATCAGATTCACTGGCATATCCATTAGCGTCTTCGGCACTGGATTCATACTCCGATCGTAGTCGAAATCCAGCTCTCCCAGACCAAATCGATGATACCAAAATTCGAAATCTCGATACTCCATGGCATCATGTCCTACAGCATCACAGAAAATTCGATAAGAATCGAATATTGGTTTTTTAAGAGCAACCTCATAGAGAATACAGGACTTTAAATAGTGATGATTGTTCTTCAAGAATACAGAAATGTTTTCCATAGTTTTTGAAAATCAATTATGTTTGGGAGAAAAAGGGACCAAGAGAAATTAGATGTTGGCAAACAGAATGTGAAAATGAGCGTCCGATTAGGAGATGTCAACCCATCATTCATCAGATGATGTGACAAGGGGCGGGGCTTCCCATGAGCCACTTTCTTTCCTTCAGTGCGGTCAATAGCTTTACACCGCCACCAAAGATCTCATGGATTCGTTTCCAACAGTTTTTTAAAAAATCCGGATTACAGCAGACCAAAATAAACTAGCCTGGGAGTTGAATGGAAAACAATTCGAATGCAACTAAGAAGAAAATGGATGTACGTTCTCAAGACCAAAGTGTTTCCATATCGAACAAAACGACAAGTGGTATACGATCGACAACAAAGTAACGGAAAAATATGACGAATGCTATATGAAAAGGAGTCTGGAGTACCTGAATAAGTTATTCAAAATTCCCAAACTTCAAGTGAATTTTCTTCGGTTAGAGTTGAAGACTCATACTCCAGAACTCGATGGTCTTCCGCCTGCCCCGTTTTATGCAAAGGGTTTATCTATTGAGGCATATGATTTCGACAAAATGGTTCAGATTCTGTTAACTATGAAGGCTGGACACCTCGAATGGCTCAATCTGGATTTCAAGGAGCAACCATTTGAAAGAGAACCATTAATAGCGAAAGTTTTCGAAAACCAACATTTCAAACAGGCGCAGATTGTATCAATTGACCGTTTTGTGGAATTCAACTTGCAGGATTTAGGGAATTTCAGTCACTTTAAATAATTATATAGTTACTTGAAGAATGTTGCCAAAGTAGAAGATATTCTCCGAATTCAAAACGTAAGTTTTTGATTTCCAGACAGATCAGAACCTTCTTCTTTGCAGACTTTTTCAGCTTTCGAAAATTTGGAGCGTGATAGTATATCAACAAAGCGGAAGTTCGATAAAAACGTTTGCTGAAGCCCTGGAAGAAGAGGTTCCAGTAGGACCACTCAGAAAGTTCACTCATCGTTACACGAACCCCGAATCCAATGAAACGCTTGAATTTAAGATTCAAGAAGCAAGAGATTCAGAAGGTGATTGAGGTGTCATCGAAATTCTTAGAGTTGCATAAGTCTTTATTTTTTCTGGTTGCTGTGTTTCTACAATTTCTTGTTTGCGTTATTTTTTTGATTTTGATTCCAATAAAGTTTTGAGAATAAAAAAAAACAGAAAATCTGTCCAATGTCGAAAATGCGTCAAGGCAACAGAAATGCGCCAAGGCACGAATAGTGTGTCAGAGAACTAGAACCGCGCGAAGACACAAAAAATGTCATCGCAGAATACCTCGTTAACAAACACCCCTTGCCCTTCCCCAAGATTACCAGGAGAAAAAACGGGTCACTTGGCTAGCCGATGTCTCCTAGGAATACCCGCCTCTTGTTACGTCATCTGGAGAAAACATTCTCCTCATCGCACACTCATTATTCCATTCTGTTTGTTATTGCCTTGTTTCTCTCCTCATCTCGTAACCATTGATTTTTTCTATTGGTAGCTCTCCCCCTTCTTGGTTAACATTTTAGATTTTCAAAAACCATGGAAAAAATTCCTGAATTCTTAAAGAACAACGATCACTACTTGAAATCATGTATCCTCTATGAAGTACTCCAGAAGAAGCCAATCTTTGATTCCTATCGAACTTTCTGTAATACTGTAGGGCAGGATGCCATGGAGTATCGAGATTTCGAATTCAGGTATCATCGGTTTGGTCGGGGAGAGCTGGATTTTGACTACGCTCGGAGTTTAGATCCAGTGCCGAAGACGCTAATGGATATGCCAGCCAATCTGATGCAAAAAATTACAAAAGACCTGGATCCGTTTGAGAGGTAAGAGTTTTGTGATTTTTGAGGCATACTTGTCGAAGAAACGATTCCGGGCCGGCACGGGCCAGCTGATAACTTGTTTCAAAGTTCAAATTGTGAGCAAAACAACATCTTTAATGATAGAGCTCGGCAAGCTCTACAGCTTCCAATGAGAATGAGCCGACTTCGAGAACGATATTATGGTCCGGGCCGGCTTTTTATAAAATATAGCCAGGACAATCCTTAAGACAATATAATTGTTTTCAGAAGTTACCTGCGATTAATGAACCACGGTCTCAAAAGTTTCATCGATTCGTTTCCAACAGTTTTTAAGAGGCACATCTATATTGATGTATTAGATAAGGAACTGGTATTGAGATTGAACGGAAAAAAATACGGATTCGAAAAAGAAGGAGACGGCTGCAAGTTCTCAACGCCAAAAAATGACTGGAGATTCGAAAAAAGCGAAAAATCCTATATACAAAAGGGCCTTGAATACTTGACTCTAGTATTCAAAATTCCCAATCTTCAAACGGATCTTCTTTGGTGGGGTGTGACGGATCAAACGTCAGAGCTCGATGACCTTCTGCCCGTCCCGTTTTTTGCAAAGAGTGCTTTTATTGTGGTTTATAATTTCGACAAAATGGTTCGACTTTTGACCAGTTTGAAGCCTGGACACCTCGAAGAGTTCAAATTACATTTCAAGGAGCCAATCGGAAAAGAACACTTTACGAGAGTTTTCGAAACCGAACAATTCAAACAGGCGGAAAGTGTAGAAATTCACCGGATTGTGGTATTCGATTTGGAGGATTTAGTTAGTTTCAGTCATTTGAAAAGCTTCACATGCGGCCTGACGAGTATCACCGAACCAGAGGAGATTCTACAGATTCGAGATGTGAGTTTTTTTTTTTGGTTTTCAGACAAATCATACGTTTTCTTCTTCGCAGACCATTTCCACATTCAAAGATATCGAGTGGTGTAAGATAAGCTATCGCAGAAACGGAACACCGATAGGACTGTTGGCTGAGGTACTGGAAGAAGAAGTTCCAGAAGGGCCACTGGAAAGTTTCACTCATCGTTATGAGAACCCCGAATCCAAGAAAACTCTAGAATTTAAGATTCAAGAGAAGAGAGAGTATTGTGACATCGACATTCGTAAAATTCTATAAATCTCGGGATTTTCCTTGCTTCTGTGTTTCTATAATTTTCTGTGAACTGTATCATGTTGTTTTTGCTTTCAATAAAGTTCTGAGAAGAAAATATATACCAAATCTATTGAATGTTAAAAATGCGTCAATGCAATTTTTTTTTGGTTTACGATAGTTTTTCGTTTCGAGACCTTCGGTCTTTTTCCGTACTTTTAAATTATTAATTTGTTCAGAAGATTCTCGAGAATCCATCAAACTTGGTATTAATTTCTAAAAATCCATTTTCTTGTCGAAACTCGTATAAATATCCATCTAGATCAAATACAGACAAAAAAGGAGGGTCAGAACCATGAGGACTCATAACTTTTTCCAAAATCGACATTTTTGAACCAAACAAGATGGATATGACAGACAAACTCAAGAGCTACAAAATCCCCTACCTCTGATTACCGTTTTTGAAAACAAGCCCTAGCATTTCTCGAACCTTTAATTATTTAGGATACTGTATCTTGCTTTATTTTTTGCAATGAAACCAAATCTAGGCGTTGACACGATTCCAATAATATCAAGCATTTTAAAAATTCAAGAATTTCGAAAATTTCATTTTCGTTGATCTTCCAATTATCTGGACCTTCAATGATCAAAACTAGAGTGCACTTAATCTTCTTTTTCTCTTTTGTTGTTGTTGAAACTTCTATCTTGTCGTGTTGTTAAAATATCTTCCCGACTATACGTAAACCTCCTTCGTTTGCAAAGATCATTGGCTCTTTTTCTTTTCTCACAGATGGTAACGGCTCAACGACCATCGACCACAGCTGTTCGCATGCAAAAAGGCGACAATGGAGGGGGAGATGAGTTCTAGGTTCAGAGATTGGTTTTTGGATTTTTATTAGTATTACTTGAGAATATTCAAATTGGCTGATAATTTCGAAAGAATTCTTTGAATGAGAATCTTGTTTTTTGGAGCACCGGAAAACAAAAAACTCAGAAATTTCAAAGATCGGAAGTTCACAGACAGATAAGAAATTTAGGAATCTGGAGCTCTGGTATTTGAAACCTGAAAAAAATAAACAGCTAAAAACAGATCCAAACTCAAAATGTGTAATTTACTGAATCTTGGAAACCAAAAAACCCTCTAACTAGGAAAACGAAACAGGAAGTGTTACAAAATTGAGGACATGGAAATTGTACTTTATCGCTAATAAGAGCCCGCTCGAATCCTCCACTTTGAGCTCAATTATCTCGGTTCCCATGAGAGTTATCGAAAATTTGTCAACTGATAAATTATTTATCATATAATCATCGATATTTTATCATTTGACAAACTTTTGATACCTTTTACAGCAATCGAGATAAATATACTCGATGGTTACGGTTTCAACGGGAACCGAGATAATCCAGCTCAAAGGCAACTGTTGGAGCTTCTACTATGGTATTTTGCATTTTTGTACTGAACAATTGTTGTGCATACTTGTCACCGGCCAGGCAAAATGACCAAACTTAAAATGGGTTTGAGCTAATCTATCTCGGTTATTGTCAAAGATATCAAAAAGTTGTCAATTAATAAAATGTTTATCATAATATCAGAAGTATTTTATCAGTTGACAGTTTTTTGATATCTTTTACGGGAAACAAAAAAAATTAGCTCAAAGTTGACAGCGTGGGTGCACTTCTATTAGAGGTTTTGCGGTATAAGAAAAGACGTCAACTGCACAAAATGTCTGCATCATGTTTTTCGAAATTCAATAAAAAAATAAATTTTTTCCAGGTCGTCAGCTACTGTAGCGTGTTTGGATTACTTTTGGAAAATTTATAACTTTCCAATTTTCCGAATTTTCCAAATTTACATAATTTCCTCCAGAACTGTCTTCATTAATGAGATTGGAGACCAGAAATTGCTGTTTTTGACTCCTTGTTAGAACTGTGATCTTCCCAAAATTTTCGGTTCAAAAATTTTTTCAAAACACCAGAGATCCACGAAATATCTCCCCAAGCTTCTTCTGATGCATCAATCCTGATAGCATCGTGTTTATAGTTTAGAAAATATAATCAAAACATATTTTGAGGTCCCCGTCTCCAAAGGGGCGTGGCCTATCGTAAACAAGGATGGCTCACCATGATGGTAACGTCTCAAAGACCAATCACCAAAATCAACTGTTCGGGTATAAAAGAGGTGGAGAAATATGCCCTTGGTGTCAGTCAACAACCTTCAGTTCTCCTCTGAAGGGGGCGGAGTCTGGAGAATCCCTCCTTTCCCCTCTTTTACATTTTCAGCTCTTATCTTAAACTCCCAATCTTCATACTACTAGAATTTTAGAATATTCCAGAGTATCAAAAACCGAGTGAACTGTTTTTTGAAAAAATTCAAAAACAATACACATCACTTTTTTGTTTTCTCCAGTTTTCTGATCATTTGTTTCTTTATAAACCCTTCAATTCTTCCAATTTTCAAATAGCTCATTTTGAACTTTATCTTCAATTCTGAAATTGAAATCTAAAATTTTCCATTCTTCCACTTTTCTAGAGCTCAAGAAAATTCTGAAATTTAAATTTCTAATTTTTCAGCGCTGAAAAATAATGCTTTCGTATAAAACGATTATCGTTCCTGTTCTTCTCGCATGCCTCGCGGCCACTGCGTTATCAATCGACTCGGCTGATGTGAGTTTCTAGAAAGATACAGTAAAACCTGTATTAGAAGAGCACCGTTGAAAGGCCTGCCTTTTTAATATAGGCTTTCCAAAATTTCAAAGCAAATGACTCTAGGTCTTGTCAGAATAGTACCCATGGCCGCCTTTGTCTTTCTGGGCCACCTTTAGACACCAAACTAATCTTCTGATCTATTTGTAAACAAGTCTATGCTTCTTCTTTGTTGTTGTTCTCCTTCTCTCCAGAAGGTTCTATGGAGAGCAACAAATACGAAGACACCAGAGACCACAAAAACAACAACAGCTGTCCCGGGGAACCCCTGACCAGCACGTCTGCGTCTCTCTTATGGAAAATACCCCTCTCGCTTGTTTACACTAGGGAATGGAGGTCTAGAGAAATTTGAAAATAAAGAAGTCTAGAAAGTTCCATATAACAATTACAGGTCAAAGCAAAAGCCCGAGCTGACTATGAAGGTGTAAAGGATAAGGTTGGAGATGCATGGGAAGGAACAAAGGATAGAGCACAAGCCGCTTCTGATGAATCCAAATCGCTCGCTGAGAAGGCTGGAGACAAGATTTCAGGAGCATGGGAGGCCACTAAAGAAAAGGCCTCTGATATCGCCCACTCTGTCAAGTCCCGATCTGTAGCCTCTGCTGAATCCGTCGGAGACAAGGCCAGCGATACCTACGAGACTGCCAAGGATAAGACTGCTGAGACTGTTAGAGAAAAGGCCGGACAAGCTAAGGATGCCGCTGGAAACGCCGCTGATTACGCCAAGGACAAGGCCGCTGGAGCATACGACGCTGCTAAGGACAAGGCCGGACAGGCTAAGGATGCCGCTGCCGATGCCGCTGAGAACGCCAAGGAAAAGTCCAAGTCCTATGCTGAACAAATCGGCGACACTGTCTCTGGAGCCTATCAGGCTACTAAAGAAAAGGTTTCTGGAATGTTCGGAGATGCCAAGGAAGAGGCTGAGGTGAAAAAGGAAGAGGCTAAGGTGAGATTCAACACTAGAACCCACATAGGAAAAATATAAAATTCCAGATCAAGGCTGGAAATGCCAAGGACGCTGTGAAGGACAAGGCTGCTGAGACCATGGACAAGGCCAACGACGCCTATGAGAACGCCAAGGCTAACGTTCAAAAGAGATCTTCCGAGGGATACCATGAGGCCAAGAGCAAGACTTCTGATACCATTGAATCTGCCAAGGACAAGGCCGGACAAGCCAAAGACGCCGCTGGAAACGCCGCTGGAAACGCCAAGGACAAGGCCGCCGGAGCTTACGACTCCGCCAAGGACAAGGCTTCTGGAGCCTGGGACGCTGCTAAGCAGAAGGCCTCCGATGCTAAGGATGCCGTCAAGGATGCTGTCAATGAGTTGTAAACAGTAACAACGAAATTAATTGTCCCATAATTGCCACTAATTGCTATATGTCCAATTTTCTTCCAACTTTAAAAAAGTGATGGGTATTTGACTCCACAATATTCAACTTCTCCCTCAAATTCTTTGAATTTTCAACCACTTTTCTTTCTTTCTGTACAATATGGTCTTGACTTTTTTTGATGTAAATAAACTAGATTTCGCAAAATTCTTTAAAAGTAAAAGTGAAATATAAATTAAAAAATGGAAAAATTGAAAATTGACTCATTCAAAAATGTGAGACTAAATCATTGAAAAAGGTTTACAAGGGAGTTACTTGAGGGAGCAGTTTTAACTTTTTTTTAAATTTTGGGAGCAGATAGAAGAGCTTATGTGGATTCCAAATCTGTTAAAAAATCAGCAAAATGCTCTCGTGAGCTGAGTTATGACCTAGAAAAGTTTCCCTATGATTAAGCAATTTCTCGTGAAATTTTTTTCACGGAATAGTGTATTTCTTTTAAAACAATAGATTTCAATCAGCAGTGTGGTAAAGTGGTAAAATGGCAAGTTCAGAGGAGGAAGGTTGTAGGTTCGATTCTCCCTATCCCAAAAATTATTGCAAATTTTTTTTTGTTTCATTTTAAGCTGTCATAACTGGCTCTGGAATAAAATTTACGCAATCTAAACATGTTTTTCGGGAGTTTCTCGTTATGAATAGGACAATATGTCTGGTATTCTGGGAGAATAATTGTTTTCAGCAGTTTGTCATCGAATGCCACCGATGTGTTTAGTCCTCAACTGTTTTTTCAATTTAAAAAAAAACAAAAAAAAATTGAAAAAAAAAAATTTGAAAAATCTTCGATGAACCCATGAGCATATTTGTGAATTTCTTCAAAAATTAAATGTCTGTTTTTATTTTATTTATTTTTGTCAAAAAAAATTCAGTTTTTATTTGCATTGAAAGAGTTTGAATCAAACGGCGACGTCCTTCTCGGCTCATCACTTCAGAAAAGGCCCTCGTTGGCGTTGGCATCCATGGAGAGTCCGATCCAGGCGACGGTGGAGTAGGCAAGAGTCAATGCGACGAGGACGGCAGTGTAGATGGCGTTCGTGGTTGTGGATCGTTTGGATCTTGGAAAATTTATTCTGGAAATTTTATTCTGGAAAATGCCTATTCATAACGAGAAACTTCCGAAAAACATGTTTAGATTGCGTTAATTTTATTCCAGAGCCAGTTATGACAGCTTAAAATGAAACAAAAAAAATGTTGCAAAATTTTTGGGGTAGGGAGAATCGAACCTACAACCTTCCTCCTCTGAACTTGCCATTTTACCACTTTACCACACTGCTGATTGAAATCTATTGTTTTAAAAGAAATACAATATTCCGTGAAAAAAATTTCACGAGAAATTGCTTAATCATAGGGAAACTTTTCTAGGTCATAACTCAGCTCACGTGAGCATTTTGCTGATTTTTTTAACAGATTTGGAATCCACATAAGCTCTTCTATCTGCTCCCAAAATTTTAAAAAAAGTTAAAACTGCTCCCTCAAGTAACTCCGTTGTTAGATATTTTGCGAAATTTTGAAAAAAAACAGAAAAATTCGGAAATATGAAAAAAATGAACTTTGTTAACAAAAAAGAATTTTAAATCGCCAACTTGAGTTATTTTTTGAAATTCCCGCCTTTTTTTCCGAGTTCTCGGCTTTGTACATTTTTTGAGGTTCTAAAATTTTAAAAATTTTAAAAATTTCCGAAATTTTTTAATTTTTGTAATTTTTAACAAGATAGAACCTTTAAAAGGAAACTTAAAAATCCTAGTTCTGAAAATTTGAGATTCTGATTTTGAATTTCTAAAATATGATTTTGAAATTCAAAAATTCAAAAATTCAAATAAATTCTGAGATTTTGAAATTATGAGATTCTGAGAATCGGAGATTCTGAAATTCTGAGGTTTCGAGGTTCTGAAATTGTGAAATATTGAGATTCTGAGATTCTGAAATTGTGAGATTCTGAAATTTTGAAATTCTGTGGTTCTGAGATTCTGAGATCCTGAGATTCTGAAATTTTGAGATTCCGAGGTTCTGGTATGCTGAGATTCTGAGATTCTGAGTTTCTGAGATTCTGAGATTTTCAGATTCTCAGATTCTGAAAATTTGAGATTTTGGGATTCTGAAATTGAATTTTTTAACTCTGAAAATCGCTATCAAAGACGTTCTAAACCCCCGAAGCCAGTCAACATGTTTTTCGTTTTCCCCTTGGAACACCTGAAAAATCTGTCGTCACTTTTTTGTTATATTTTCATTACTATTTCAAAATCACACACACACACACTTGTCTTTTTCTCTGCGTCTTTTAATTCCCTCTTTTCTTTTTTTGTTGACAGAAAAATGTGAAATGCATGTGAAAATCACCAGAACATTCCAGAGAATCGGTATTTTTTCTATTTTTTGTTGTTTTATATCAATTTGTGATACTTTATGTGAGCTGTGGTCAGGAAAAAAGGTGATTGGTGATCAAGAAAATTTAGAACAACGGTATATAAAATGTTCTGATTTGATTATCATATTAGAAACTTAATTTTCTTCTATTGTTTTTTTTTACTTTATAAAAATGCCTTTAAATCCAAAAAAATCCAAACTTTTCAGACAAAATGAGCCATATGAACAGCATGGAAGAGAATTTCAACGATTCTCACTCTGGACCACAAATGGACCCAATGGAAGATGCGAACAAAACTGAAAAGCTGGACCAACAATCTGGAAAAATTTCCAATGCGTTCAATGATATGAAACAACAAGTTGCGGGAAGAGAAGATCGAGAAAAGCGATGTGAAATGAATAAAAAATGCGAAAAAGAAGGAATTAAGAGGCATTATTAAAGTTAATTTGTTTCTTTTTTTGGATATAACTTTTTTTGAAATTTTTTGATGTGATTATATTAAATATTTATCTGTATCGGAAGTTCAGAAGTCAGAAGTAAAAAATTCAGAAATTCAGAAATTTGAAAATGTAGAAACTCGGAAATATAGAAATTCGGAAATTCGAAAATGTAGAAACTCGGAAATATAGAAATTCGGAAATTCGAAAATGTAGAAACTCGGAAATATAGAAATTCGGGAATTGAGGAATTCGGAATTCGGAAATTCAGAAATTCAGAAATTCAAATATTCAAATATTCAAATATTCAGAAATTCAAATATTCAAATATTCAGAAATTCAAATATTCAAATATTCAAATATTCAGAAATTCAGAAATTCAGAAATTCAGAAATTCAGAAATTCAGAAATTCAGAAATTCAGAAATTCAGAAATTCAGAAATTCAGAAATTCAGAAATTCAGAAATTCAGAAATTCAGAAATTCAGAAATTCAGAAATTCAGAAATTCAGAAATTCAGAAATTCAGAAATTCAGAAATTCAGAAATTCAGAAATTCAGAAATTCAGAAATTCAGAAATTCAGAAATTCAGAAATTCAGAAATTCAGAAATTCAGAAATTCAGAAATTCAGAAATTCAGAAATTCAGAAATTCAGAAATTCAGAAATTCAGAAATTCAGAAATTCAGAAATTCAGAAATTCAGAAATTCAGAAATTCGTAAATTCGTAAATTCGAAAATTCAGAAATTCAGAAATTCAGAAATTCAGAAATTCAGAAATTCGTAAATTCGAAAATTAAGAAATGCGGAAACTGGAAAGTTCAGAATTTCAGATACTCAGAAATTAGAGAACTGCATACGGCCTCAGAGAAGAATGATTTTCCAGAAAACCGTTTTCTTTGGAAAATGTTTTCCTTGGAAAACGCGTTTTCCGGAAAATGCCGTTTTCCGTATGCAAGGAGCGGAAAACGAAACGGAAAACATTTTCCGGTAAATGATCGTTTTCCAGCCTCTATTTTCCGGAAAATGTTGGCGTATTTCCGGTGTCGGGATATACATCAGTGATATTGTTAGCCCGAAAATTGATAATTTCGAGTTTTCACCAAGTTAAACCTATCAATACATAATACAGTGTTCGGAAGACTGATAAAAGTGACAATTATAAATATTGGTGAAATTTCTTTTGAGTGGAATGTTTTCAGGAGCTATTTTTCTATCTAAATCTGACCCTGTCTTCATCATAATTGAGTGAAAATTGTAAAATATTGGTTAATTTATGATTTTTGGAGCTTGTAGGAATTGATATTTCATCAATCAACTCGGCAGATGATAGTTTCAGAGTGAAAAGGGAAATACAATGGAACCGTGAGCTGGAAAATGACTCCTCAAAAAGTTACATAACTCATGAGTTATAGTTCACTATAAGGAAAATTGATCAAACTTTACATTGCCCTAATAAACACATATTTAAATACCGTAAAACCTCTAATAGAACGACACCCGGATCGTCCACTTTGAGCCTATATATCTCATTTTCTGTGAAAGATATCAAAAAGTGGCTAATTAGTAAAATGTTGCTGATATCCTGATAAACATTTTACTAGTTAACCACTTTTTGATACCTTTCAAAAGAAGTGAGATATATAGGCTCAAAG